TGATCTGTTCCACCTCTGACTACAGTTATCATAATTGTTTTGGACCTGCTGCCTCCCAGGCCTGAATGCTACATTCTGGATTGTGGCAGCTATTGCTTCCCAATCTGGAAGTGCACAGTATTTTACTCATTTTAGAATTCATTCATCCCAGACCTACTGGTGCACTCCTGCTGTCAGTGGCTAGAGAATAGGCATTTGGTAGTTGGAACGCAAATAAGATTTTACAGACAGTGCATGAGTAGATCCAGCTATAAGTTAAAGGTACTATCATGGAAATAAATCAGGAAATCAGGATAATTCATGTCAGGTGGTTTAAATCAACATGAGTAAGTCTCTTTTCAGAAAATCCTCTTTAGCAAATGCAGTTGAAACAGCATTGTAGTTTCTCCATACTGTTCATGATTGATATTGCTTTAATAAAAACATACTTTTAAAAACTATTTTTTGTGACCTAACAAGAGTTTCTTTTGTTTTCAACTTTAGAGTGAAAGCACAGCATTTCTAGCAACTTACCCTGCCAATGGAACGATAGATTTAAAATATTTTCCATATTATGGGAAAAAACTGCATGTGAGTATTTAGAAATTCTTAAGTGGTTGAGACTCTTGGGGAACTGGCACGTTTGTATTAAAATGCCAGTTGTCTGGGTCAGGTAGACATATGCCCTGTGTAATGAGTGCATCATCTATTCTGGTTTTTAAATACATTGGTGATGGCAAATGGAGACTCCAGGTCTACAAGTGGAGCACAAGACCGAAGCGGATAAGTTAAAGGATGATTATTTTCAAAATAGCATTTTCTCTTTCATGTCATAAAGTGTCCGTATTTAAAGAAGATAGAAAAGTGGTTAAGTCATTACCCAGAGATGGCTACTTTTGTAGTGGAATTTCTTCCACATTTTTTCTATAAGTGTATTTATATATGTGTGTATTTTATATATATATATATTTAGCATTTTATATATATAGTAGTAAACTTTTAGTTTTATTTTGAAATAATTCTAAACTTAAGTGGCTAGCACAGTACAGATGATTCCTATTAACCTTTTGCCCAACTTGCCTGTGTTGATGTTTCACATCATTTGTCTTTATCAGTCTCCATATATATTTTTCCCATGAACCCTTTGTCATTAAGTTATGAACATGGTGCTTCTTTACACTAAATGCTCTTTACATTGAATTTCCTAAAAGTAAGGACATTATCATAATAACCATCATGTACTTAACAAAGGAAATTAGCATTAAACTGTATTAGTATCTGATCTACAGACAATGTTGAAATGTCACCAGTTGTTCCAGTAATGTTCTTTATTGCACAGGAAAGTGCTTTCCTGGTCCAGGTTGTTACATTCTTACATCTTTAGTTGCCTGTAACCTGCAGCAGTTCCTCAGCCTGTCTGCTTCATGCCCTTTAACTCTTCAAAAATGAGTGCAGGCCTTCTGGGGCTTACTTTGTGGCTTATGTTCCTCAGTTGGGAGTTTATCTGATGTTTTTCATGGTTAAATATAGGTTGTGCATTTTTGGCATGAATGCCTCAGAAGAAATGGTATGTCCTTTTCAGAATGGCATCAGAATGGCATGTCAGGAGGGACGTCGTATTGAGTCCCATTGATGGTGGTGTTAACCTTGAACACTTGGTTAAGGTGGTGTCAGCCAAATTGCTCTAATGTGAAGTTATACTTTTTTTCCTTTGTAATCAAGAAGTATTATGTGGGGTGAATACTTGGAGAGTCTGTAAAACTATTGCTCCCATGATTTTAACATTTATTGATTCGTTCCTGAGTCAGTTACTAATAGAATTGTTCTCAAATTTTTTTCTAATTTCATCTTTCCTTTTCCCATTTACTAGTTGGCATTCCACTCTAAGAAAGTGCATTTTCTTCTCCACTATTTATTTATATCAATAAAGTCTCATAGATTCTTACATAATTTAGGTGTTATATGTTATAATCATTTATTTTGGTGCTAAAACTCTCCCGCATTTGGCTGGTGGAGACTGACTCTAGCTTCTATGTCCTTGAGGCATATTCCCTAGATTCCTACAGCACTAACTTACTTTCTGGCACCACAAGGGCTCATCTTGTATTTTCCCTGCCTCAGACCTGGAATTAGCCCCTAGTTCCTTCACTAAAGTGAAGGCTTGTATTTAGCAAGCACAGTGATGACAAAACAGTTACGAGTATATTTGCACCAAGTTAAACAGCAACCATAAGGATATTAGAAACCTAAGTAACATCAGTGAGGTAATCTTCCACGTGTTTATCAAACATATTAATAGATAAATACATGTTCTTCTCAAACACCTGGAACTGTCACAAAAATTTATCATAAAAAAATGCATCTTCAAGTATTCAGTTAAGGAAAAAAAGGTAGAGGATAAAAAAATACATCTAATAGATTAAAATCTTGTTTGTTTTTTTTTTAATTTTTAAAGAATAGGCAAGCTCCTAAAAAGTATAGTTAAAGTTACTGGAGAAGTTGAATTAATGTATTTTCCTTTATTTGCCAGGGGAGCTACCTGCAGCCACTAGTTGCCGTCCAGCTCATCTTTGATAGTGATGGTGACGTAAAAGAAGTAATGGTTGAGTGCAAGATTGATGGATCACCCAACCTAAAAACCCAGAATGACCGTGACAAGTTTTTAGGACGAGTTGCATTCAAGATCACCATGCATGCATAGTAGGAGTTAGGATGTCTCCACAGAGTAAATGTTGTGTTGTCTGTCTTCATTTTGTATCAGCGGGACCTGCCATTCCAGAATTATGAGACCGCCTTGGAGAAAGGTGGAGTGGTACATGACACTGGGATAACATAATGTGCTTCCAGATAATAGTGGTCCATGTCCTTCGAAGTAACTGCCTGTTGCCTCTGCTGCCTTTTGAACCATGTACAGTCACCAGATAGGGACTGTGAACACCTGATTCTGAACATGTAGGTTGGGGGTCTTGTCCAATTTTTATGTGGTTTAATTGCCAAGTGTCTAAAGCTTAATGTGCTGTGCTATGTAAATATTTTATAGATTTAACACTGGTTAACTGTCATATTTTGATGCCAGCAAAGTTTTAGGGTATAAAATGGTACCTGACCAACATCAAATGACTTTATAGCTGCAAGAAATTCAGTGCGTGGAAAAGTTCTGTATGTGAGGAGGAAAAAGGAAAATAAAAGTGGATTTGAAAGGTTGGCTTGGATGTTTTGTAAAATTATTTTTTACATGCTGAATTAGTTTGTGGATCTTTTTGACTCAGAGCACAATCTTTTTGCTGTAAAACATGTAAAAACAAACAGAAAGATAGTGATGGGATTATTTTTAACACTGATACTAAATCTTTTCAAGTAGTTAGATTGAAGTATTTTAGACCATAGATAAAAACAGCATTTTTAGTTGGCCATTAGGAATACACACCTAAATTTTATGAAATTAAGTTCATAAGATTTAAATTGTGCAAGAGTTTGTGGGATCTTATGACTGCTTTTATTTAGCTGACTGTAGAGTGGACTCTAATAAAAAATATAAATTGTGAAATATAAAAAACTTAGAACTTATTCAGAGCTTCAAACCAAACACTAGTTTAACTTCAGCATTGTTTTATTAGTGTCATGAAACACTTCCTCCTTCAATCTGAGATGTTTGTTATGATTCTTAGTCATAATGTGAGCTCCTTTCTCCTCACCTGAAAAAGGTGTGCTTACCATAGGATCTGTGGTTCTTTAAAAAGCACCCCCCCCCTTTTTTTAATTGTTATTTTTCTCCTTAAAAACCAAAGCTAGTATTTTTGAGGCTTTGTTTGTGTTAGTACAGCCAGGAAGAGCAGACACTCGCCCAGCGGGCTCAGGGATGGATATCTGGAGAAAACCTGAGTGCTCTGGGTGGTCTTGACTGACCAGGTGGGCCCTGATGGCCCCAGAGCAGCCTACACACTTCGGTGGTTATCACTCGGCCCCGTTGGGAGGGCTGCTTCTTGCTCTGCCACTAAGATCTTAGTGATTACAGATTTTCATTGTAGAAGCCTCCTTTGCAACTGAAGAAAATGATCCTTGGAATTTGTTTTTTTAACTTTTTAAACATTTTAAGAAATACTTATTTTTGGCCTGGCTGGGTCTTCTTCATTGCTGCGCAGGTTTGCTCTAGTTGCAGAGTGGGGCTACTCTCTAATTGTGTTGTGCAGGCTTCTCACTGTGGTGGCTTCTCCTTGCAGAGCACGGGCTCTAGGCTCATGGGCGCAGTAGTTGTGGCTCACAGGACTAGTTACTCTGTGGCATGTGGGATCTTCCTGAACCAGGGATCAAACTCCTGTCCCCTGCACTGGCAGGCAGATTCTTAGCCATTGGACCACCGGGAAAGTCCCTGGAGTTTATAAGTCGAAGCTTTACTTTGATTTTTCTCTCAACCCTATCTCTTAAGAGTATAAAACAGGAGGGGGTGGGGGCAGCAGTGGTGAATGGCAGGCTGCAACTAGGATATTAGTTAGGATATTTAGTCGGCTAAGTGTGAACAGGGCCTTAGCAGCTATCACTTAAATTTGTATTTTTGTATCTTTCAAAGTGTAGGGTGGGTAGAAATTTTGTTTTAAGGAGTTTAGGTAAAAGCAAAGTACTTCTCAGAACATATGATAATACTTGAGATATCCAAAGTAGGTTGTGTGGGTTTCAGAGAGAAAGGGGCATACACAGGAGTCATATCTGTGCTTCCTTGGTTCAGGAGGTTGGCCATGGCTCAGCCCAACTGTCTGTGACCTTAGTTGACGTACCAACTTTTCCTGGCTCTGTTTTGTGTTGAAATTAGAGATGTTTAACAGCTTCTCCTGGAGAAGGCAATGGCACCCCACTCCAGTACTCTTGCCTGGAAAATCCCATGGATGGAGGAGCCTGGTGGGCTGCAGTCCATGGGGTTGCGAAGAGTCGGACACAACTGAGTGACTCCACTTTCACGCATTGGAGAAGGAAATGACAACCCACTCCATTGTTCTTGCCTGGAGAATCCCAAGGATGGGGGAACCTGGTGGGCTGCCGTCTATGGGGTCACACACAGTTGGACACGACTGAAGTGACTTAGCAGCAGCAACAGCTTCTTCACAAACCTGCTGTGGGCCAGGTAGTTTCCAGACTGAGGATAAAGAAATGAAGCACTGTGGTCTCTTGAAGATCTTAAACTGGGAGGAAGCAGGCTCTGAGATGATGGCAGGTATGTGCAAGGGAGTTGGGGAGGCCTAGGTCTTTCACAGGTACCCCAAGACAGTCAGTGAGGGGAGGGGCTGGGTCTGTCTGGAATGGACACAGGCTGACCAGGAGTGAATGGAGCCCTGGATGTGTGTTGAGTCTGCATTTTTGCTCCATTTCAGGTTTTTCTTAGAACTTCACTTGTATCTTATTAACATGCAGATTCTGATTCCCTAGGAGACACTCTACACTGAGCAACCTCCTCAATGATGCTTATTCACAGACCACAGTTTGACTAGCAGGGGACAAAGAACTAAAGACAGCTTTGCATCCTCAGCGGCTGAGTCTGGCACTAGGTTCGTTACTGGATGGAGAAGATTAAACTGTCAGTTGACATTAACTTGTACTTAAAAATTCAACAGGTATGTTATTAATACATTTCTAGCTGAAAGAAAATTATGGGTTAAGTTTCTAAATTTCCTTAGATCTCCAAACTTGGGAATTTTGTGTTTTTTTTTTTTTAAATACTGCTGCTGCTGAGTTGCTTCAGTCATGTCCGACTCTGCAACCCCATAGATGGCAGCCCACCAGGCTTCTCCATCCTGGGATTCTCCAGGCAAGAATACTGGAGTGGGTTGCCATTTCCTTCCCCAGGGGATCTTCCCAACCTCGGAATCAAACCCACATCTCCTGTTTCTCCTGCATTGGCAGGCAGGTTCTTCACCACAGTGCCACCTGGAAGCCCATACTGTATCATAGTGTCTCAGTACATAGTCTCTTTAGTCGGGTTTTCTGTACTTTCCCTACCCCCTATATGCATAGTTAGTCCTATAACTTAAGCACTGTTCTCCTTTCTTAGTGGTAACTTTGCCCCCATGTGCAGCAGTGAGATAAGAAAGGTTGGTCTGCCCTCTTCATGAAACCCAACAGGACTGCCCTGTCACTAAAGGTACAGCCCTGTAAGGAGGACTTCCCAGATTCTAGATAGAATCTGATGGAAGAGAGAAATTCATGTAGAATCCACGATCCTTCATTGTGGAAGGAGGGGTAGGGGGAATTGGACTTAAATCTTGATTTGCATTTGATTGCTTGGAAATCTTTGGTGTGGTCCTTACTCTTCTGAGCTCCAGTTCTCATTTTAACTGTAAAATGAAGCTATTGCCACCCTTCAGGGCTGTGAAGATTAAATGGGGAAATAGACCACACCTATTGTTCAGTCTCTCAGTGGTGTACGATTCTTTGCAAGCCTAGGGATGGTAGCCCATCAGGCTCCTCTGTCCTTGGAATTTTTCAAGCAAGAATACTGGAATGGGTTGCCATTTCCTCCTCCGGGGGATCTTCCCCACCCATGGATCAAACCTGTGTCTCTTGCATTGCAGGTGGATTCTTTACCACTGAGCCACCAGGGAAGCCCACCAACATGTAGTAATTGTTGACAGATGTTTGTTTCCAAGGATTTCCCCCTCCTTTTGAGGTTACCGGGTTTTCAGTAACTTGGGATAGTGTAACTACTGTGTTGCTGCTGTGTTGAAGGATTGTTATTACTGAGAAGGGCATGGTAAAGAAGGAGTTGGAAGTCTTTTTTGGCTGCCTGTGATCCTGTGCAGTGGATTTGTATGGAGAGAGGGGGCACAAGTGAATTAGAAACTGTCAGTCCATGTGAATTTGAATTTCAAAGGGTTATTCTTGCTTTAATAAAGTTATCAAGTTGTCATTTAAGCTGAATAGAATTTGCTATGTTGATATCAGAGTTTTCTAGCCCCCTTGATCCCGCCCTGAAGGAGCTGTGTTTCGAACAGTGGGTGAGCAGTGGGTCTTCATGTGTACCTCTCTTGAGATCGGCCGGAGGGTGACTCCCTCTAGGGAGGGAGAATCTGTTCCCGGAGGGCTTCCTTCACCCTGGAAGTGACACGAGGAGATCAGGGTCTTACTTCCTGAGCAAACCGGTTTCCTCCCAGTGGCTTCTTTTCAAATTAAGTCCCTATAGAACTTCTCAAGAGTGATTTTGGGATTTGTTTTCAGAAGCATAGAGCAGTCTTTGACGCCTGTCACAAGCGGCAGGATTTCTCTGTTGAGGACGAGCTCACTTTTTTTTTTTTCATTTAATTTTTATTAGTTGGAGGCTAATTACTTTACAATATTGTAGTGGTTTTTGTCATCATTGACATGAATCAGCCATGGATTTACATGTATTCCCCATCCCGATCCCCCCTCCCACCTCCCTCTCCACCCGATTCCTCTGGGTCTTCCCAGTGCACCAGGCAGAAACAGAATTCTCTAGGGAGTCAAGACCTGTAGGACCTGACATCTAAGAATGAAAACCAAAGCAGAGCATGTCTCCTAACCCACTCTTCTAAGATTATTTGTGTGGTCTTCGGATAACTCAGAAGAGCCTTGATAGAATAAATCGGGTCTGACTGGTGACCAAGTGGCTAGTGAGAGACTATCATTAGTTGTGGATTTGCTTGAAGACAGGCCACTACCCACTCAGATATGAATCTGTTTGGAGTGCAGTTCTGCTGGTTACAAGAAACCCTGAGAAAACCGGGAGGCAGGACTACTGGCTCAGTGAATTTGGGGTGGTGCTGAGCTCCCAGAAGCCTTGTGCTGACACATGGAAGGGTCCCTTCTGTTCTGCAGGTCAGAGCCCCAGGTCTGTTAATGCCAGAGCCAAGGGAGAAGGGTGGGTGACATCAAGCAGCAGGCATGGATACCACATGTTTTTTTTTTTTCCCGCATTAACCTCGTTCCTTACAGTCTTCCCTCTGGGTGGCTGAGAACAGCTGGGGCATGGTGTGGAAAGGATGGATTTCTTGCAGAGTTATGTGCACCCTCAGATAAGAGCTCTGCTGGGGTGGGGAAGGAGTTGATGTGTTGAGACTATATGACGAGGTGGGGTGGCCAGTGATAACTGGAATGAAACTAAGGGCCAGGGAGAAAGAGCCAAATGTGGTGTGGCAGGCAGACAAGTTGACAGAGATGACTGAAAATTCAGAGCGCTTTCTGAGACCATTCATCCAGGTTGGATCTGCTGCGGATGAGATCACTGTGGTCAGTGGCATTTGGGCCCCCATGACCTCCGTCAGGACCTGTGCTCCTGTTGCATCATGTGGCAGTAAGGACATTGCAGATGAAATTAAGGATTTACTTATCAGTTGACTTTAAAATGACATTATCCTGGATCATCCAGAGGGCTCAAGGTAAGCCTCTGCCTGAGGCAGAGGATGAGATGGTTGGATGGCATCACTCAATGGACATGAGTTTGAGTAAACTCCAGGAGTTGGTGACAGACCGGGAGGCCTTGTGTGCTGCAGTCTGTGGGGTTGCAAAGAGTCAGCATGATTGAGTGACTGAACTGAACTGAGGCAGAAGTCAGGTCCCAAGTGTAAGAAGATACTGTTGCTATCCTGATGAAGAGGGATGTGTGGAAATGGGAGAAGGAATCAAACTCTGGAAGCCAAGTTTTCTGTCCTCCAGAGGAGTTCAGCCCAGCCCACATTGTGCCTGCAGCCCTGTGAGGCCCCAAGACTGCCGATCACAAAAATGGAGACAATAAATGAGTATTATCTGAAGCCACTAAATTTGTGGTCATTTGTCATAGCTAATGGAAAGCTAAGATGGTCATTTTCTCAGTGAAGTTTGTATGCTCCAACCCAGTACTTCTCAAGTCTAGGGTGCATGTGATTCATCAAGGAATCCTGTTTAAAATGCATATTCTGGACTTCCCTGGTGATCCACTAGATAAGAATCTGCCTGCCAATGCAGGGGACATGGGTTTGATCCCTGGTACAGGAAGATCCCACATGCCAGTGGGCCAGCTAAGCCCGTGCACTCCAGCTACTGAGCCTGCACACCCTGGAGCCCATTCTCTGTAACAAGAGAAGCCCCACTCGCCACAACTAGAGAGAGACTGTGTAGCAACAAAGACCCTAAAAAACAAAACTAAACTCTTCTGATGCAGCCATGTCTGGGGTGGGGCCTGAGAGTCTGCATTCCTGACATGCTCCCATCTGCTGCTCCTAGGAGCACCTTTGCCCACAAGGTCTTGTGCATCCTGGTCAGTGTACAGCCTGGAATTCAGAGCCAGGGCAAAGGAGGGAGGGAGTGAGAACTGAGTGGAGAAAGGCCTAGTATACATACCATGGTGCTGTGGAACAGTATTCACAGAGGTTGAAGTGGAGAGGAGCCCTGTGTTATGAGCTTTTACGTCTTGAGCTTCATAGCTGTGGTCCGTGGCCTGCATGGCAGGCAGGACCTTGATAAAGGGTGGGATGTTTCCATGTCCTTTGCTTTTTTCTGAGGCCTTAGAGCTGGCAGCCATTGGTGCTACCTTCCTGAGGTAGTCAGACTGATGGTGCCAGTCTGACATTTAGCAGTGTCCTTGCCAGCACCCCCTTTCTCCCAGCTGAATAGGTCAGCTTCTGGAGACCACTGGCTTGGAGATGAAGGGAACTCACCTCATCAACACACTGCAAAGTTGCTATCACCTTAGAAGGAATGGTCATTCATTAAAAAAAAAAAAGAATTTAGACTTCCCTGGCAGTTGAGTGATCAAGACTCTGCACTTCCAAGGTAGAGGTTTGATCCCTGGTCAGGGAACTAAGATCCCACATGCTGCAAGGCACAGCTTACAAAGTTTTAAAAAATTAAAAAATGTTTTAAATGTGTATCAGGAAGTGTACTAGGATCTTGGGACACATAGGGGATCAAAACAAGATCTCCGTCTTCGTGGAGCTCACAGCCTAATAACTACGGCGGGGCTGAAACTGCTTCTGGCAGGCTCTGTGTGGGTGGCTGTAATTGCTGCTTTTCCAGGAGGCAGTGGCCTCTGGCCAGGGTGGGCTGCTCCCCCTGCTATGCTTGCCTTCTGCCTCTGGCCAGCACTTACCAGGTTTGGGGAGCCTCCTCTGAGGAGACATGTTGGAACTGACTTTAAATGGCTTTAAGTTAGGATCTACCCAGAAAGATGGCCGTAACCACGACTGCAGACCCAGTCTTCAGAATACTCGCCTTTTATAAATGCTTTGAGACAAAGGATTGTGGAAGGCTCTGTCAGATCCCTAACTCCAGTGGACAAGAAGTTTAGCAGGTATAGAACATGCAGAATTCAAAAATCGATTAATTGGGAAAGAATAGTGTGATATTTGTAAGTATGTTGCAAGTATAAGAAACACATGTTAGCATTTAAATGTAGTGCAAGGGCTCTGGAAAGCCTCCTCTGGTCTCTGGGGTTTCACAGAGAAGCAGCTGTTTTTAAAGAGTGTCCCAGAATTTATCCCAGAGAGTTAATGAGGCACCCCAAAAAAAGTGATTTCCCAGCAGACCCCAAGGATCAGCCAGATATGGGGTGCCCCAGACCTCTGTGACAGCCTTACTGGAGGAACCCCAACCAGTCAACTGTTGATACTGCAGATGCAAACAGCAGTGCATTTTTCTCTTTATAGTCTGGATGGGTGTCTTTTTGAACCTGAGCCTTCTGATCAGGGGCGGCCTGGGCAAAGGAGCACAGCCTATCCTTTGGGCTGTTGCAGATATGCCTAGTTGAGTCTTTCTAGACTCTTTTCTCTTATAGATTATTACAGAATATTGAGTGCTATACAGTAGGTGTGACTGCTGATAGAAGCAAGGTCCGTCCGATGCTGTAAAGAGCAATATTACATAGGAACTGGAATGTTAGGTCCATGAATCAAGGCAAATTGGAAGTGGTCAAACAGGAGATGGCAAGAGTGAATGTCGACATTCTAGGAATCAGCGAGCTAAAATGGACTGGAATGGGTGAATTTAACTCAAATGACCATTATATCTACTACTCTGGGCAGGAATCCCTTAGAAGAAATGGAGTAGCCATCATGGTCAACAAGAGAGTCCAAAATGCAGTACTTGGGTGCAATCTCAAAAACAACAGAACTAACACCCAAAAAAGATGTCCTTTTCATTATAGGGGACTGGAATGCAAAAGTAGGAAGTCAAGAAACACCTAGCAAATTTGGCCTTGGAGTACGCAATGAAGCAGGGCAAAGGCTAATAGAGTTTTGCCAAGAGAATGCACTGGTCATAGCAAACACCCTCTTCCAACAACACAGGAGAAGACTCTATGCATGGACATCACCAGATGGTCAACGTCGAAATCAGATTGATCATATTCTTTGCAGCCAAAGATGGAGAATCTCTATACAGTCAGCAAAAACAAGAC